GCTCTTGCTTTAGGAGTGTATCGATAGAGTGAGTGATATAGTTAAAATTTTACATCGCATCGGCAATATTACAGCAATGAAAACAAGGTAATCAATTTAAAATATTTGTCGAGAAAGGACAGTAAAACCAACTAGACTATCACAGCTATATACTAGTATTTAAAACTAGTAATTAAATCTAAAATGCTTTAACTATAGAGGACGATACAATATAAAAACAGGCTATAGATTGACAACAACTGATGGTAGATCACCATACTAGAGACCATGGGGACTTTTGCTATCTTCATGGAGCCTAGTTGGATATACACCATCTTTTCAGCCGCTGGCAATTGTAGGAAATATTTAGCCAAACTTTAAAAGAACAAAAACACTACGTTTTAAAAGGTTGGTAAGTTTAAGTGCACTTTGAAAGTTTTGGGACTTTTTGGTACCCTCTCCGGAGGACAATAATGTTACGATACTTAAACCCCCCTTGAGGATACAGCCACTAACAATCCAAGTTGATCATCTAAACTACCATTTAAACAATACCTCTTATCTATTTACAAAACATATTATTCAAATATTTGTCTATTAATTCTATGTCCTTTAAAAAAACAATTATTAAATGAAAATTAACATTATAAAAAGGTCTTTCATTGTTTTGACATTATAATATTTATCCCTTGTGGTGTATCAATAGAAAAAGAAACGACAAAACCCTTTTCCCTAGGAAATCTCTGGTGGACCAGAAATGGTTCGTCGTTTGGCTATTGGTATTGCCGTATTTAGCAGCATTACAGCTGTACAGCGTGGTCTGTAAACAGTCGAGTCTGAACCAGACAGTCCACTGTTTGACACCATGCGATACTGTAATCAGTCAAGTCTGAACCAGACAGTACACTGCTTGACACCATGCGATACTGTAAACAGTCGAGTCTGAATCAGACAGTACACTGCTTGACACCATGCAATACTGTAATCAGTCGAGTCGGAATCAGACAGTACACTGCTTGACACCATGCGATACTGTAATCAGTCGAGTCGGAATCAGACAGTACACTGCTTGACACCATGCGATACTGTAATCAGTCATGTCTGAACCAGACAGTCCACTGTTTGACACCATGCGATACGATGACAGTGCATATGAATCAAATAGTGGTGACTTGCAGGTGTTCATGAAAAGGTATCCTGATCCCCCGATGGCACCCATCGTTAACACATGCAAAGGCAATGTAAAACACGAGCTAACACAGTTTTGGTCTTCTACTGCCCCGAATGAAATGTTATTCTTTTGACAAGTAAATGTTAATTCATACATGAAGTTTCAAGGTCATGTTGACTTTCAAAGGACTGTCGACGTTGTGAAGAATTTCTTCCCTTGAACATGGGTAAGAGGGCTCCACAGACAGACGCCAGTATCATGCAAAGACCTGCAAATATACATCAGAATGAAAACGGGATATCATTCTGCATACCCAGGGAAATGACAGAAAATACATGTGTCGATATTATTGTTCCACTACTGCAAAACTACATTTTCTTAAAGTGCTTTCTTTTTGTACCCTGGAAGGTCCGTGGTCTTCAGTAACAACAAAGAAACCAACCAACTAACAAAGGCTTTCATGACGACTTGGTTGTATTTTCTTCAATGTCAGTGTGGTTTTGTTCGGAGGTCATGACCAAAGAGATTGCGACAAGTACTACTGAATACATTCAATAGTCTCATGTAAAGGCAGTGTCATTAGATCACAATATAATAGTTACTTGTGCTCCTTTTTCGATATTTCCCACATATGCGTTTAAAAGTAATGTGTATCTGGTCCGTTTTAATATTTGAAAACAATAAACTAGCAATTTTCAGTTTACCTGCAAACACAAAAGTGTAGTCGTACACTCCACTAACTTCAAAGATGGTACCTGAAACATCCATGTGCAGTTGGTTACACAAAAAATGATGTCGGTTCACAGACAAGCGATAACAGAAGGTAAAGCAACAAAGGGTCGTGATTGTTGTAACCCTGAGTTCTTGAACCTACTTTATATCATTAAACGTTGAAATATCATGCTTCAATGTGCACCACATGTGGTGGAATGCAAATACAAATGGCAGGAATACTGCACACCACAAACCGAATGGTGAAGTCATCACTCTTGTCCATCAGATTAAATGTTACATATTAAACATGACTGCATCGCTATCTACTAATATACTAAAATTGTTGATCACCACAGCAACACTACTTACTTGCAAGGGGAGCTCCAACCAGGAATCCAATTCCAAAAGAAAACATCATTCCGAATCCAACTTCTATAGCAGACAGTCCAATAAGGTCTATAGTAATAGGACTAAGGAGTGAATTTGGTCCTCCCATTTGCAGTCCAAAGATTGCTGCATATATGCATTGTAGGTAGAACTGATTCGACATGAGAGGAAATAACAAGGTTATCAACCCTCCCATGCCAAGCATCCCCATATGGAGAAGGTAGTAACCAATGGCAGGGTCTGTGGCAGCATGATTGTGAAAAGGGTACTAGACTCGGTTGGTGAATTTCCGTTAGAAGCTGCATAGTTTGGCAGATGAAGATAACAAGATGATTCTCCTATAGACCAAAATAAAATGCTTACTACATACACAATAAATCCACTTCGCATAGCAACAGAAAAATGATTTTGTAGCAGTTTATATTTTCTACTTTCCCCAGACGGTGTTGTGTCAAGTACATGAGCTCCGTTATCATCGAAAACCTGACTAGATGACTTTTGGATTGTCAATTTGGACTCGATATTCTCTTTGGTGAACTTGTTTGCTTCAGGTTGATGTTTTTCATCAGTGTCCTCATCACCCATCAATCGTTTTGATTCACTTTCAAGCGCCACTGATGAATCACTACCACACGGTTTGGTTGGATCCTTTGTACACCTGATAGGAAGCTCTTCAAAAGATTCGTTTGCTGTTTCAGCACTTTTGCTGTCCTGAGGCCTTATGATAAACCCAGCTATGCATATATGGAATGACAAGGCCCCTAAGATGAGTATTGTCCCACTTGAGTAATATGTCTCAAGGAGGTATCGGATCAATGGAGCTCCTAGAAACATTTCACATCCACCTCCAGACATAGACACAGCAAAGGCTATTGGACGCTTCTTGTCGAAGTAGTGACCAGGAACGGATCCGGCAACGTTGACACTCAAGGCAAATCCACAACCTGTATTAAGAGAACCCTGATAAAACTGTATCATTGTTACTCGACTGATCTGTTATCTATGCACGATACCAGTATATTGAATGACCCAAAGCTTATTAAAGAGCCCAAAATATACATAGGAAAGCTGCTCAAGTGAACCAAAGTAAACGTATCAGTACATCAACCAAAATGACCAATAACATGAGCATAATGTACCTGAAAGTAAGCTATATGTTTCAAGAAGGCCGGGCACAGTTCTGGTATAATGACCAATAGCATGAGATGATTTAACTGAAAGTAAGCTATATGTTCCAAGAAGGCCGGGCACAGTTCTAGTAAAATGGCCAATAGCTAGAGAGTGATTTACCTGAAAGTAAGCTATATGTTCCAAGAAGGCCGGGCACAGTTCTAGTAAAATGGCCAATAGCTAGAGAGTGATTTACCTGAAAGTAAGCTATATGTTCCAAGAAGGCCGGGCACGGTTCTGGCAAAGGAGGCTGCTGTGAGTCCACTGAATGTGATCAAACCTCCAACACATGTTGTTACCCTGGCACCAAATTTGCGGTTAAAAATACACACGAATGGACCTAGAAAAAGGACATTGTAAACAGACACGATAATGTTTTGAGAAATATATTCCACAGAATGATGCTGCCTTCTCTTATGGAGGGCATATATTTTTCTGCACTTGATGTATTGGGTCCAGGGTTTAGGATAAAGTCAAATGATAGATCAAAGAATTACCAAATAGAAATATATTTCGATCACAACTTATACAGAAAATGAATAATATTCTTGAATTTGCTGCCCAGGTGGTTGAGAGGGTGGGTGGTGGTGGTGGTGTGTGTGTGTGTGTGTGTGTTGTTTTACGCCGCTTTTAGCATTATTCCAGCAATATCACGAGGGGGGACACCAGACATAGGCTTCACACATGTGGGGAATTTAACCCGGGTCTTCGGCATGACGAACAAACGCTTTAACCACTAGGCTACCCCACCGCCCCTCAAGTGGCTGGAATTACTCGAGGTCTTTTAGTTATAAATCATCATCAAGCAGTCACTACTTTTTTGTTACAACTATGTAAAGATACAATGTCATAATACTTCAACATATGAACCCAGTAAAGTGATCGTTGCGTTCAGCGTAGCTCCTACCCATGATGTCCTGGTCAGGTCACTGTCAATTTCCTCTGAGATGGCGCTGGTCATGGCTCCCACATTAAAAAATCAGCATGCCCACGAGAAACTGGATTCCAAAGGCTGCCGAGAGCACCACCCAAGAGTAGCCCCGATCTATGTGAGTCCCTTGTACAGCCATGACTGTCAGGCCTTGGGTCCGTCACTGCCAACACAAGTGGAACATTGTTGATCATCATACTATGAGAGCACCGCCGAAGAGTAGCCCTTATCTATAGTGAGTCAAAAAAGAAACTTCACAAAATGTAATTAGAAAATTAATGAATAATTTTACTCTGATGATACATCTATGTATCCGAAATGGGATCCCTAGCTTTCGACTCTAGAAAAACGTTAGCAAAACCCACTTAAACCCATCCATTCGTCGTGCAAATGAAGTTAGTGCCAAATCAGGTTTTGCACGTGCAGTCGATCACGTAATCTTCGCATCGAAGTTTTCTTCATATGCACGTGTTTGCATTGGCCTTAAGAATTAAAAAAACACTTTTAAACCACAGTTCTAACGGTACTTGAAAAGCCACGATTGTCAAATGTGCAACGTGAACGTGCCGTTATTGACGTCGCAAGAGCAATGGGATGCAGCCGTCGTACTGTGTATGACTTGCGAGGTCGTCTACAACGAACTGGCACCACTTCTGATCGCCCAAGGTCGGGTCGTCCACGTGTGACGTCACGAGCAGAAGACCGTCACAACGTCATACGTCACCTACGTGACAGATTTCTGCCGGCTATCCGAACCAGGGCTGAGATGTTTAGAGGTCGACTGTCCTCACAGACTATTCGAAATCGGTTGCTGGCTGCCAATCTCCTTTCTTGACGTCCATATCGTGAGCCAATATTGACGCCGTTTCATCAACGTCAACGTCTGCTGTGGGCCCAACGTCACCTCCGATGGACCCAGAGAGACTGGAATCGAGTCGTCTTTAGCGATGAATCCAGGTTTACCCTCAGGTTCGCGGACGGCAGGCATAGAGTCTTGAGACGCAGTCGTGAACGGTATGCCCAATGTTGTGTACAGGAAGTCGACAGATTCGGGGGCGGAAGTTGCATGGTGTGGGGTGCTTTCTGTGGGAACAACCGTTCCCGACTTCTGGTCATCCGTGGAAACCTCACAGCTGCTGCTTGCCGAGACCAGGTGCTCACCCCTGAACTCGTTCCTTTCATGGCGGCTCATGGCCCACGTCTACAGTTCCAGCATGATAATGCTCGGCCGCCTACCGCGATGTTGACACCAAATTTCCTTCAAAACGCTGGAATCAACGTCATGGACTGGCCATCGAGGTCCCCTGACCTTAATCCAATAGAGCACGTTTGGGATGCACTTGGGAGAAGGCTTCGTGGTCTTCCAACCTCAGAATTTGCAGGAACTTGGCGCTGTCTTGCAAGAGCAATGGCGCAGAATCCCCAACCACGTGTTCACAAGCATCAGGCAGTCGATGAGGAGACCGTGTTTGGCAGTGGTGAATGCGCGGGGCGGCCATACACGATATTGAACTGAGAAATTTCGCATTTTTTATTCTTGTGTCTTTTCCCGTCACTGCCAACACAAGTGAACCAGTTTTTATCATTCCAGCATGTAAAACTATTACAATTCCTACAGGAAAACCAGTGGCTGATATAATGATAGCCATCATCACATCGACATGTCGGTGTCGTTGTGGGACAACGCAATACCAACTAATTCATCGAGTCTGATGTATGCTGCAATCTTTACCTTATCCGGATTTCAGAATTCTGGGACAGTCTGAATTGGGGTGATATATTGACTTTACATGCTTTACTTGTATCAATTATTGCCTTTCCTATCACATGACGTACATGTTACCAAGTCATTCAATGTACCACTTTGAGCTGTCCTTTTGACTTGATTTGAGTTCAGTGGATCACGGCACATGGGGAATTGAGGTGTGTATATACAACAGACATCTATACTGTAACAACTCGGAATCATGCATACAGTTACCATATAAATAGGTGAAAAGACGTACTGTGTTTGAAATTTAATATGGCGTATGGCAAGGAGAATATCACGTTCAAAGCTTTTATTACACAGGCAATTATCAGTCCAATGGGAGAATGCAACCAAAGCTGCCTTTTAGGTGCTGGAGGGTTAAGTCATATTACCATCTCATTCTACCTGGTATCCATTCACTGCTGGCTGAACAAAGGCACATATCGGACAAATTCATCAGCGTGGGAGAGGACTATACCAAGAAACTCTCCCAGGAGCCAAACTGTCGAAGATGGTCACCCATTCGAGGACTACATCTGAGGTTTACATCAATGTGTCCTTCAACAATATTTCAGTTTTTCACAACCTGTCAGCTTGATATTGGACAAATGTCCAAAGTGATGAATGTGTATGGTGCTAGGTTTCGAACCTATGATCATAGTTTTCTGGTGCGACTAAGAGATGCAACCGTGCACAGTGAATTGCACAGCCTAAAATGCCAGGGCCACCGTGTGCCGTCATTACAATGATTAGAAGCGAAAAGAATCTGTATTGCTGCTAAAATACGTTTTATTGGCTAAATACACCGACATTTACAATATATGAAATAATTTTCAATGCAACAGCAACAGCAACAAGAAACGCAGCTCCCCCATTGCCATTACTACTTCATTTTTAAAACCATTGGGGGTAACAAAGACAACTGAAGTCAGAAATAGAGTATAACTTTTTTCTGCGCAGGCGTAGACTAAATGACTTTCTACACATGCGCACCAGTAATCGAAAAGGGCGATAACACGACGATGCAACTTTTTCATTATGCCGCCTTGTCGTGTTGTTGCGCATTTTAAGGCTTTTTTTACACATCTTAGATGTAAATTCTCGCAATAGAAACATGCGACATAGCGACAAACCCTTCGTGTTGTATTATCAGCCCACACAGTATCGATCCTTCTTCACTGTCCACATGTTGGGCGACTGACTGTTATAGTTACCCGCTGTTGTGAAATACTCCCAGGCGATAACCTAGTTATAGCTTCCAGTGGTACAATGTCGGCGTGTGTTAAACAAACACGTGGTAGTCGTTCACCATGACATACCAAGATCAGCGTACGGTTGATAACATGCGATGAAATGTGTCACTGTTTTTGTAATACTTTAAGATTAAACCTGTCGTTCAAAACATACATAGGATTAGGGAGATGTGAATGAGCATGGAGGTTAATATAGTAACTGTAGCCTGACATATGTTTGATGGTTATGATAATGGGTCAGTATTCATCAGTTATCTTATCTCCTGACTTCGCCTTAATACCCAGGTCAGTGTCTATAGACTACAGAGCGACACATGTATACTTGATTACATCACTGTCCTACTAAGCACAATAGGAACTATTTTCAGAGCGTGTATGACGTTTACTTCATACGGGCTGTTGTGGTTGGTGGAGACTGCTGGAGAGAAGTCCGTAGCCTGTCATGGCTTGACGCATATAGTTTGGCATGAAATGCATGAGGATGCATGTAAATATCTCTTCATCCAATGACCCAATCGATCTCAAACTGTCACAGCAAAAATAACTTAGTTTCCGTTCTTGCGGAAACCTAATGGATACTGGGTAATGTAGGTTTCCGCTAGATTTCAGTATCCGGAAACAGACAATGCGAGTTTCCGCATAGTTTACAAAACTGAAACTAACAAATCTAGGTTTCCGTCAAGTTTCTACAACTGAAACTATCATTATGCGTTTCCATTTAGTTTCAGTTCGCTGAAACATTCATAGCAAAATGACTTAGTTTCCGTTATTGCGGAAACCTATTGGATAGTGGGTAATGTAGGTTTCCGCTAGGTTTCTGTTGGTTTCAGCTTAGATCAAATGGCAATCTTAGCTTTGTGCTGTTCCATTGGGGGTCAATATTTACTTACTGTTACATTTGCAAGATAATTTCTACAGAATCCAGCTAGGGTCCATGCAGGAAGCAAAAGTACTGTACGTTCCCTTAGTCCCTAGTATTTTGATCAACCTTCAGGTGTTTGCAATCTATAGCCCATTTTTATACTGTACCGTTAAAGTGTATTATTGTTACATGCCAGTTTTTAGTGTACATTTGTGATAGACTGGTTATTTTACTGTCCTTCGAAGACAGGTAAGTATATAAGTTTGTTTTTATTTCATGCACACATTTACAAATTTAGATTTACGACTTTCATAGTCACGATATGACTGCACGTGTGACTTTGTAACTCACTACCATTCTGCATAACTTGTGAATGTACCATTTATTACATTGTACACGAAAAACAACAAACACAGTAACACAGTCACTGATATGATTCATCTGTTTCATTATTTTGAATAGCTCACATTTCAACAGAACCAAACAATGTAGGTAGGTAGGTACGTAGGTACGTAGGTACGTACGTACGTACGTACGTAGGTAGGTAGGTAGGTACGTAGGTAGGTACATATGTATGTGAGAAGCCACAATCTTCAGCATTGGAGAACACAACTTCTGTATGAATATGCAAATACAAATATGTCAAAACCCTACAACATATCATGCATATGATGAAATGATGTCTACTCTTGCAGGCATAACATACTTGCTGTGGTATTTATTAAACAGATTTCAAATTCAAATGTTTATTGTATGAAAGGTCATGGGCCCATATACATGAAATGTACATTTGAAGCTGCCTCAATGTATCTTAACATATACACACTAACAATCTCACATAGAAAAGACATGGCAACTTGCTGACAATCATGAAGCTTCTATTGCACTCATACTGAGCAGACAGCAATCCTCTGATCTGGTACATATGAAGCAGAGCCTGAGTTGAGACAATTGCTTTGCCACACAGAGAAAGGGAAAACATAACCAAGTTGATTACAACGAGGCTTGAACCAGTCCACAACCGCAAACAGATGGTGTATGCTCTACTTAAGATCTGTGGGTGAATATGAAGAGTCCTGGTTGATGTCTGGCACAACATCGTTGCCATGCTTATCGTCCCACACAGACTCTGCATCATCCTGCAAATACAATACATACAATGCTTAGTAAAACTACAAAAACAGTCAAAGTAACACAGATATACATATTCAAACACATGCACAGTGGTACATCTGATCACAATGAAATTATAAAATTAGAACCACTAATTTGTAGATGTAACCAAAAGATTTTTTCACAATCACAAAGGAAAGATCTGTAGTATACATGTATATTGTATCTTCCATTGGACATGTCACTTATTTGAGTGATTGGTACCAGAAAATAGTAGCCAACCCAGTATTCTGAAGCAAATTGTGGTAATATTTATTGCTTTTACTGTACTCATATTCAAGGTAATATCTACTACCAAATCGCAAATTGAAATCTAAGCATAGGTAAGACGGTACATACATATTTTAAATAGATACGAATCATGTTTAAACACTGAATGTAACACCTGATTATATATATAATCTTAATTATTTCAAATTGAAATGACCAATTCAACTGAGAAAAGCATACAAAACCAAACATTTCCCAATGAATGAAAAATCGTGGGTATTTCTTAGTTTTATCAAGCAATATAATAATATTATTTTTAATGTGACCTTTACTTTAATTTAAAAACTGTAAAATGTGTAACACAACTTATTCACTTTCAGTTACATATCTGATATACAATAATTAAATATATTCGTTATTGATATATGATGGATAACAAAGGGACAGAGCAAACTGAAGTCGTTATGTGAAACCTATGAAGTGAAGTATCTTTGACGACTAACCTGATGAGAAACTGCCGTCCATTCCAGACGGATTCCTTGTTTCCTTGAAACGAACGACTGGCAGTGCGGACAGAAAACTGGTCTTTTTCTTGAAAAACATATCAACTTATAATTACACTGGAATCCAACCACTGTTACATTTTGAGTGATTATATTTTTCATAAAGATAAAGAAATTTATTCTATGTATCTATTTAGTGTTTACTTGTTTTTGAATAAATGCTGATGAATAAAAAATATTGTTTTAAGATTTTCTTTAATGAAATTAGGAGCATGGTATGGTGTAACTATAAATGATTACCAAGCCAAGACTCCTGTCAGTCTCCAACAAGTCAGTGGATCCACAATACGTATCTGTAAATTGAAACAATGATTCTTTTAGAAATGTTATGCGTGACTTGTGTCAATGCATTGTAAGGCTAAGAGGTTTAATAATTGATTACACAAATTATTACACATTCTATGAGTGTAAACTATATGTAATAATTGTTTTAATGGTTATAAAATGATAAAATAGATGAACTGGTATAATTGGATAAATACCGCCATATAGCTGGAATATTGCTGAGTGCGGTGTAATACTAAACTCACTCACTCAGATATATTGAGCTGACATTACATATAAACTAGTAATATATAGTGCAAAATTAGAGAAGTAAACTTATAATACATGGTATTTCCACCTTTCACGGTCCACTTTGATGTTGGCAATGTAAACAAATAAAACAATGGCGACCGGATCACGTCCACGCGAGACTACCTAAATCATTATAAAAACACACAGCTGACATTTTAGGTGTATAGTGTATGTTTATTTTGTTGTATAACGCGGAAAGATATTGTCAAACTGTAATGTTAGATTTAGATTAAAAAACAACAACAAAGTGTTTTTCCCGTGAGTCTTTGCGAGACGCCATTTTCATAGCCGCCTCAGTTTCCCTCAAAGCACTGGAAGAGAGAATTCGCTACCTGGAAAAGAAAGATGGACATGGCTGCGAAAAACTCGCAGTACCACGACCCTGTCAGGTAAGACCAAGTTATTTTGTTGTCAAATAACGTTTAATGAATTATTATTTACTTTACGTACAGAAATCCGGAGTGGTAAACAAGCCAATCTGTCGAATTACAGCCACTGGCCATAGGTATTCGTCACTATGCATTATTCGACTTACATGTTAATTTGGTGCAGCTAGACATATGTCTTGAATTTATTTAATATCCGTTTGATATTTTTCATATTTTGCACATGGGTCATGAACCATCTCAGCTACAAAGACATAATTTCCGGTTTATTTTCAATTCAGTGCGTGTCATGGTTATGGCAACTTTTAACATGGCGGTCTAAGGCAAGAATACGCAATATTGTATATATGTTGCTCATTTGATTTAAACAATATTTATTCATTATTTAATGAACGGATTGGTAAACAGGCTATAAGCCTATAGAAATACCTCTCCGAATACAATGCGATGGGAAACATTTTATATACATTCATCATTACAGACAAGAGAACACACCATTTGAGGAGTAAAAGACTTAATGAAAAAGACAGTAGTATAATTAATCAATTAGGTAAAAAATCGTTTTGTTAAGGTAAAATAGTCATGTACAGATTTTACAATATTTTCATTGACTCGTCAGAATATGAGTAACTTCCACATAGTACAGATAAAATATTAAAACCATTTATGTAATAGAAACACTGCGATCGAATTATATTAAAATTTGGACAGATAAATAGAAAATGAATGGCATCTTCATAATGATGGCCACAAGTGCAAGTAGACGTATTTTGAAGAAAACGGTCAAATTTATGTGCGTTTAAGTCACTACAGCCAAGTCTTAACTTACAATGAATTATTTGATTAAATCTATTACCAGTGTTTCTGAAGACATGATGTACGTTGGATGAGACAGTTCGATCAAAGTGTTTCTTGAACATGGCAACGGAATCTATGTTTCTTAAATCATTATCTAACTTGTTCCACTCCATCACAGAGGATGGTAAAAAAGATTTTTTTATATGTTTCCGTACAACATAATGGTACTTGAAGCATATTACTAGATCTAGATCCATATGTGGATACAGAGGATATGTTTTTTGGAATTAGATCTGATAAATACTCTGGAGTTTTATTATGTAACATTTTATGAAATACATACATTTGGTGGTTTTTACGACGTTCCCTTAATGATGAAAAACCAGTTTCATGGTAGATGTTGGAATGACAAACACCTCTAACTGATCCACATATGGTTCTTAAAGCATCTAAGTGAAGTTTTTCTAACAATAACTCTTGAGTTTGTGTACAGTTATTCCAAATATAATCACAATAGTCAAAAAGTGGTAAAACAAATGAACTATACAGGGTTTGGAGGGTTTTCCTCTGAAGGCGGTATTTCAGACTTCTTAAACAATTGATCATAGGACTGACTTTAGAAATAATATCATCTATATGTATATTCCAGTGGCCATCACTTTGTAAAGTCAGCCCCAGATGTTTATGAGTGTCAACAGACTTTATCGGTATATCATTCATTATAAGATCTGGCATTGATGTTACTGTTTTCTTTCTAAAAAAAATGATAGATTCAGTTTTATTGGGATTAAAGTTTACTTTCCATGTCTGGGCCCATTTAGCTATTATTTCTAAGTCATCGTTTACCATATTGGAAGATACCATAGGGTCATCAATTATCACATATAAGGATGTATCATCGGCAAATAATTTAATATTACTCTGTATATATTCAACAGTATCATTGATATAAACCAAAAAGAGTAAAGGTCCTAGGACTGATCCCTGAGGGACGCCAGCTTTAATTGATTTAACATTTGACTTATACCCATTTATTACTGTAAACTGTTTTCTATTATTTAGATAACTTTCAAACCATAATAAAAGAGATCCGCGAATTCCACTAGCCCATAACTTATGCAAAAGACCCTTGCTCATTTAACTACAATGCGGAAAATTATGTACCTGTGACCAAGATGATTTCCTAACAACATGCAAAATTTGACAACCAAATATGGAAAACTGAATTAATGAAAATTACACAGCTACACTAAAATAGCATGCAAATCTGTGAGAATTTTGCCTACTGACGTATATTTAAGTCCCATGACTGTATAACCAGTTTTGCTCGAACTATTTTCAAACGATGGTGAAGTAAAATAGACTTATCTAAAAATAGACTACAATTTTGAAAAATATAGCAAATAGATTATATATTAATGGATTTGTTTTATTCATTTAGGCTGTTGTGAGGAGACATGTGTCACGACTACTCCTGGAGGAAAAGATCACCCTCTCTTACTGAAGGTATGTGTTTATGGTACTACGAAACATAGACATAATTTCAATTTGAATATTTTATTATTATGCTTCCCTAGATACATTTTCACAAAATGAACCATACTAAAGTTACATTTGCAAATGAATTTGAATAACCGGTAACTTAATCATGATTTCAAATTGGACCAAATAGATCTTAACTTAACACCTGTGTGAAATTGCAGTCAAACTGACCCCTTGATTTTACAGTACCGTAATTACTCCAAGGTTATGTCACATGAGATAACTAAACTTCATTCATCAGGATGTTTATGTCAGGCCGTTCACTTACTGATTGCATAACCTAAAGTGATAAATCTGTAGTTTGATTGTTGGTATAAATGTCGCTGCAATTGTTTGGGTTTTTTAAAACGCGAATGAATTGGGAAATGCAAAGAAAAGTAACCTGTTATTGTTTATTTTTTTCAGCAAAACTGATGATGAGTCTGGAGACTGTATAATGAATGACCAAGGATGGTCAGCAGGGACATGTGAAGGTAATTTTTACCCATCTGCAGTGACTTTCATTATAAATAGTAAATAATTTCCAATTAATAGTGTAGAGACAAGGTTTATGGATGTCAACATGTTTCAGAGTGAATAATTACCCCTTCGTCAGGTGTAAGCATTCACTCCGAAACATTGTGTTTTCACATAATAAAGACGTTGACATCCGTAAACATTCATGTCTTGTATTATTCACTTCTAAATACGCCTCAAAGACTTAATGGTGTAAACATACAGTCACTACTGGGTGAATATACTTGTGCCTTCAACAATACGACTGACTGACTGAGTTTGGTTTTACGCCGCTTTTAGCAATATTCCAGCAACATCACTGCGGGGGACACCAGAAATGGGCTCAGTACGAACTGTAAGAGATGAATATAGCAATTTGATGAAAATCTATTACTAGTACCATTATTACTATATAGAAAATGTAATAAATGTTCAGATATATATATAACGTATTACTACCTCTGGTCTGAGAAGCATGTAACTCCAGAGCAAATTGTGTATAGATTGTGTGTCCTCTTTAGAAAATAAGATATTTCATTCGGTCAATGAAGTGTGATGAATTGCATAATTTGAGTTTTGCGAAAACTAGTGCAAAGTGTGATTATTCAATTTAGTTCTCTTTTATTCAAACTTCCTTTTGGATTACACATTTTAAATCATCCTTGGCATTTTCAGTTTCTTGTTGATTGATGTTTGTGTAATTTATCAAAATAACCTAGTAATTCGTTATTACCTGCCATCTTCAGAAACTTGCACAACGCCTAAACAGACTTGCATCTATCGATTGGCCAGATAGACGAAAGAAAAGGTAGCGACAACACTCACCATAGACATGACATCACCAGTCGTGAGTGACGAAGATGACGTCAATTAGTTGCATTTCGTCCCCTTTGTCTGGGAGTCCAGCAAGCTTAGGGCATACACGACGACACTGAACTTGGAAAGAATCTACACCTCCACTGCTCTCGTCATGGCCAACGCGAGGACGAGGATGAGGCATCCAACCGACCGGAGGGATCTCCGCCCAGGGATGCCCCTTATTGGGCTAACTGACCAACTCTTGCAATATAATTGAATTTATTTTCAATTTCATAATGTAATTTTTATTTTAGTTTAGTTTTGTATTGTAAGCTGTGTGTTGTGTTATTGTATGATGTATATCATAGTGGATGTTTGGCGATAGTTGTGACATAGAGTGTGTGGCTGAATGCCAAGGCGTGAAAATAAATGTTCCAATGCAGCTATGTTTTATTACTTTTTAAGTTGTGTGTTATTGTTATTTTTCGTCATTAGCATGATTTTTTAAATATATTTCATATCTAACATGCTATTTCAAGATAATAAGTGAATGTAAGTTTAACTGATGAAAAAATACTACTTTGTTATAAATGATATATGATTTCTTAAACTGGATTGAGTTATGCCTAACTGTTTTGCTCTGTTTTTAGTGCTATATTACTAGTTATATGTATGATCTTTATTTGCCTTAAATGCTAATTCATATTCATTATGAGAAAATAAAACAATGAATCTTATTATATATTCTGTTTTTCTTTAAGTAAATGTCATGATAATAACAAATTGCTTATATTGTTTTTAACAAGAGTTTATTATATGAATAAAGAAGAATGTTTAAATTTTGCTCTTTGAAGCGCATATGAAAACCCGTGAACCTGAAATTGAAATTGGAACCGGAAACTGAAACTATGCGGAAACTATGTCGGATTGTTGGTAACTGAAACTATGCGGAAACTATGTCGGATTGTTGGTAACTGAAACTCTGCGGAAAACTGTTGGAGTCTTATTAATAACTGAAACCTTGCGGAAACCTGATGGATTCAAAGTTAACTGAAACTCAACGGAAACTTGTCGGAGTGTGGGTAACGGATACCTTGCGGAAACCTGTTGGATTGTGGGTAACGGAAACCTTGCGGAAACCCTTAGAAAGTGGGTAATTGTAAGTTTCCGTTATTGCGGCAACTCGATGTAAAAGAACGGAAACTGACTGGATTCCAGGTGGAAACTTAAGTTTCAGTCCACTTTCCACCAGGTTTCCGCATTGCGGAAACCAAGTTATTTTTGCTGTGTGTGCAAGTGGATGTTTTGTCAGACAACCTAATCACATTGTAAATCACCGATTTTATGCATTTGTATTAAAGAATCTGTCTATGTAACTGTCAACAAAATAAACAGCAGAACGCAGAATGCTTGCAGAGGGAGGGAGCCAATGACCTGTAACAGCGGCAGTGTTGGGTCATAAAGGTCAACGTTCGTCAATATTTCAGCCATATCGTGACGAGAGCAATTTAATTTATATCAACATTAAAATCAGTAAATTTAGAATATAAAAAATCTGTCATCGAAGGACAGTAAAACTACTAGAGTATAACAGCTCTTAATTTAAAACAAGTACGCTATAATAAAAAAATATGACTATAAGCAACAATACAATATAAAAACGGGCTATAGAACACGAGCAACTGAAGGCTGATCACCTCATAATTAATCATTAAATATACAAGTTGTGGTGGATGTTATTACACAGAAGATTAATGCTGTGGCACGTCACAGTGTTGTTGCAGTAATCAGCACATTTTGTAATTATTTACAGAATATGATATTGCACGTTACATCATTTACATAAAACTTGCCATGAATGATTCTATTGATACTCTCTGTACCTTTACCCGTGAAGATCCGTGTTAGAATTGATCTTCATTAACCCATGCTTGTCGCAAGAGGCGACTAATGGGATCGGGTGGTCAGACTCGCTGACTTGGTTGACACATGTTATCGTATCCCAACTGTGTAGATCGATGCTCATGCTGTTGACCACTGGATTGTCTGGTCCAGACTCGATTATTTACAGACCGCTGCCATATAGCTGGAATATTGCTGAGAGCGGCGTAAATCTAAACTCATTCACTCTTTGTAGCTTCTGTTTTCCGAATGTTTTATAACC